ATACTAATAATAATAATAAATAATATCTAAAAATAACTAATAATAAAATAAAATAAAATAATCATTCTATAACAATATAGTTATAATATATTAAATATGAAAAGAATATTAAAAGATTAAAGAAAAAACAAATATAAGTTTGTATTTATTAAAATAATTTTTTGCATATAAATTCATATTTAATTTTCTAAAAATATTGTATGCTAATTGTGATCTTTCCAAGTTTATGAATTGGTAACTCTTTTTTTATAACTTTTAATATTATTTACTATAACTCAAATTCTATTAAAACTTTTATGAATGGATTATGTCTACTGAGTTTTATTTGCTGCATGTTGTTCTTATACAATAGAAAGTACATCTTGTAAAATAAATTCATATTTTTCAAAAAGCTAATAAGATTCTTTATCACTTATATTATTAACTGAATTAGTAATATTATTTATTATATCTAAATAAACAATAATATTTATTTTGTAAAAAATTTTTTTTTTAATAAAAAATAATTTTTTACCTTTAATTATGATAGATATAGCTTGTTCTTACACAAATTGTTGCTAATTAGATATAGTTTGTTAAGATGATACAAATAAAAAAAGATAGATTTCTTGTCAACAGACATTTTAAAAAAAATTTAAATCAACTATAAACAGTATATTTTGCACTAAATGCTTATATAAAAAGAATTAATTTATTAAAAAACTTGGATGCCACAAATCTATTTGTTAATATTTATTACATATTGGTTATTGATAGTTTTTTTTTGATAATAAAGATTATTTTTTTAAAAAATCTTTTTACTAAGAAGGTTTTTTATAATTATAAACATACTTATTATATTGTTGTTAATGTTTTTTTTTTTTTTTTTTGGTATTAAGGAAACCTCTTTGGTCTTTTGACTTTTATTAATCACTTATCAGTATTGTGGTTCAGTGAACTACTACAGGAGAGTATACAATTGGCTATATATATAACTTTTCTATATTATCTATTTAAAGAGTCTGCCTGAAGGTTCTTTACCAATTGTTATGCCTAACATTCCTGCTTGGATGTTCTACTTTAAATTCTCTGAACCTGTAATCTGTGTTAACATCACTGGTCATTTCAGATGTCCAGATCATCATACTCAACTTTAGAACTAATTTATTCTTAAAATAAACCCTCTAGAGCCTTCTGTACCTATTTTTACAGCTGATCTAGGTATTACTATAGTAGAACCAACACTTGCAGTTAGGACTAACCATTAAACTGTTATGTTCTTATAGAGTTTACTTAGACCCCAGCATCTATTTCACAGTATAACTCCAGTACTTTAGTATACTTCTGTCTTTTGTCTAGCCTTTTTACCAAACTCCCAATCCAGATAATCTGTATAGGACTACAATCAGTCCATTGGTATATTAGGTTAGCCCAATATCCTTTTTCTCTGGTTTGTTCTGGCAGCCTAATTGATGGTACCTTTGAGACTCCCAACCTGAAGGTTCTTACCCGTCTGGCTACTACAACCAGATACTATAACCTTGGTATTTGTTTTCCCAAGCTAGCCTTTACAATAGGGCTGTCGAAGATTCAGCTACCTCTCTATTCAGGTCTTTTCAAATGGACTTTTTGTTATCTAATTTCAACAGATTTATATGACCACAAGAACTTATCTAGTATTTGCACTGCCCAATTGGTCAGTTTGCATTCCTCTGTGTAATGTCATACTTACACAGATGCCCTATAACCTGTCAGTCATGCTGGTGTAACTGCCATTACAGATATCCTAACTCAATCGTTAGTAACAGTTATCATAATACAAATATTACATAGATTGTTGTTAATGATATAAAATTAAATAAGTAATAATAATATAAGTCATCAAATTAAGTCAAGACCTAAAAAATTTAAGTAAAAAATTCTGTTTAATTACTTTTCAGTATGATTTGACAAGTATTATTGTATAAAAAAAGACAAATTTATCTAATATTGCTAATCTCATCTACAATTTTCATATTTCTAACTAGTACCAATTATTCTATATATAGATCCAAAGAAGTTTTAAACTATTATTATTACAAAATTTATATATTTTTTTCATAGAATTTTGCTATATTTTATATACTAATAAAAATTTTTCTGAAATATTAGATATTAATAGATGCAAATGCATATGCTGTTCAATTATATTAAGAACTGTTTCTCAAAGATCCTTTGGACAAAAAGTAAATTTTTTTTAAATTTTGAATAATTTTGAATAAAAATCTATACTAATAAAATCAAATACTTTATGAACCAAATGTGAACTATAAAATATAGTTTTTAAATAAGTGTTGCCTTTTAATTGTATTATAATTACTTTTTTAAGATGCTATTGACAAATTTGAATTTTAATATTTATCCAAGTTTGTTATATAGCTGCTATCTGTGCAAAATTTTTTGTTAGTTAAAAAGAAAACAATCTGATCTAATTCTAAATTTTTTAATAATTCAAAAAAAGAAACCAGAATTTCTGTATATACATCATTTTTATTATTTGTTTTTTCAACAAATAAATAAGCCATTGCAAAGCTAGCACCATCAAATTGTCCAATAATAGAGTATATATCCTAGTGCATTCATTTTATATGTTGTATCAATAATAATTTCATAATTTTTTGTCATTATTTGAAAAAAAAATATTATAAATCCTATAAATTTGATCACTGCATTCTCATCAATTAAAACTATATTATATTTATGTTCTTCTAAAAAATTTTTGTTGAAACTAATTGATTATTATTTTAAGTATACTCTTGTTTAATAAAAGTAGCCCACTATGCATGTATTTGTTTCTAAGTTAAATTTAAATTTTCTTATTTCAATTGTCTAAAAATTTTACTTAAACTAAGAAATAAATATTTTTTTATTTTATATTTAATTTCTTTACTAATACTATATCTTTTAAAACACTTATGAAATATAGAATGTTTAAGATGAACAGAAACATAATTAGTTTCTGTACTAATAATAATTTTAATATTACCTTTACAATTATATTTTAGTATTGATTAATAATCATTTTGTTTTTCAACATTTTTATATTTTTTAGGACATTTTGCAAAATTTTGGCATTGTGAATATCTATAATAAAATGTAATTTGTATAGTTTTCTTTGAATCATATGTATCTGTATAACTAATTATAAAATTATTATAAAAATAAATTTAAATTATACATTTATAAATTATAAATATTTGTATATATATACAAGTCATTCTTAAAACAGTTATGTATTCAAAACAAATCTATATATTAATATATATAAAATTCTCAATTTAGTAATTTACCAATAAAGTTTTCAATTTACTAATACTAATAAATCTCTTAATATAATAAATTTTTTAAAAATCTTATTAGTAAAATCAATTACTTTATTTTATATAGAGTATATAAAGATAATGACTTGTATATAAAGATATATATAGTACTTACATGTAATAATATCTATAATTTTCATCTATTACATTTGCTATTTTTTTTTATTATTCTTTTGGATCATTTTCAAAATCTTCAAAAGAAATATTAGATTCAAAATCAATATTGATTAATTCATTTTCTATATATTTATCTGTATTAATTTTAATGACTTTATCATATAGTTGTTGTACTATTTCTTTTAAAATAATAATTGAAGTTTCTTTAATATTATTAGATAGTTTATAATAGATAGAAGATTGTTGCCAGCATAACAAACAAGTATTTAAATATTCATTTTTATTAAAAAATTATTTCAGATTAACTGTTTTTTTACACCTTGTACACTCTTTAAAACTTTGCATATTTTTTATTTTTAATGAAAATAAAAATGAAAATATCAACTACATATAAAATGATTCTTGTTTATAAATTATAACAATAACAATAATATGTATAATAAAGTAAAATCTGAAACATTATTGATACAGATCATGCTTAATATAATATTTAATCACTATTTCTATAATTTTAATTTTATTGATTGGTAGTAACATGATTTGCAGAAAATTCGAAATGTCGTTGAGGTAGTGTTTATTGGTTGGTAGTAACATGATTTGCAGAAAATTCGGGGTGTCGTTGGGGTAGTGATTATGCTAGGCCCTGCATGTGACTGCATATTCAGTAACTTTAACTTTAGAACTCACATATTGCATACCATCTAATGGGTTTACTAATTTTCTTCCACAGTTCCTATTGGACAAGAAAAAATCCTACTTTTCAGTCAAATAATAGAAATGTCATTGAAGCAGTATAAAGGTCTAATAGAACAATATTATACTAAAATTTTGCAAGGAATTTTTTTTGTTAGAACACAAAAAGTGGTTTTGTAACTAAAATTTTAAGCTATCAACGATTTTTGAAAAACTTCTAAAACTTTGATTTTTTTAAAAATTTTACATTATACCTGATCTTATAATTTGATTGGTAAACAAAAAATCTATTAAAAGGAATCCACTCGATTACATCTTCATATCTTGTGGAATTAAGTTAAAACTCCTTAATACAATCATCAACATCCCTATTTCCACTTGTCCATCCTTGTGCTATTTTCTGAGAGCCGCATGTTTAACACCAAGCTTCAGATGTATTATATCGCTTGCAATTTGTATATTTTCAATGAACTTTGATTTTTTTGCGAACAAAACTTATCAAATTGTGAACGAAACTTACCAAACATGACTTTAAGTTGTTACAGAGAAATTCATCATATATACAGTAATATATGATTGATTTTAGGGAAATTTACAGATAAGAGCCCAAAAATGAAAATAATTACAAATAAGGGCCCAAAATGAAAATAATTACAGATAGAGGCCTGATATTTGAAAATTATTACAAATAAGGGCCCAAAATAATTATACGTTTAAAAACCTATGATTTAGCCCGTTTATATGATCATTGATTGTTAATGCATAAGAAATGTAATAATAATCAATTGGTAATTCGAATATAAATTCCAATGCACAATAAAAAAGGTACATTCGTGCTGTAAATTTATTTCATTGAAATTCTTATATATATTTCTTAAAACCTGTTCATAAATGCTAGATACAAAGTTACAGGCCAGTAAGACTTTTAGAAATTTGGAAAATGTTCATTCAGACTTGGACAGTTATTCTGTTGAATTCTAAGTTAAGAATGAACAAACCAAGTAAACTGTTAGTCTGTTGAATTCTAAGCTAAGAATAAGTAAGCTGTTAACTGTTTGTTTTACAAATGAAACCAGTTTATGCTCTTTTACTATTTCAGCTAACAAGCATAAAGCTGACTACGTTCATAGAGTAAGGCCAATTTTTCATGATTCAACTTGTTAACCTTTATGGATATATTCAAAGCACAAGATATAGTAATACTTTGACCATGTAATATTGAAAATCGTGTTTGTTCTAAATGTGGAGACTGAAACATCATATATGGTAGCTTGGAAAAATCAAAAATCTGGGCAGTCGGGTGGAAATTTTTTTCTGTTTTTTGTTTTTTTTTACAGTCAAACTCTCTATAATCACAATCTTGGTTTCATGAATTTTGAAGATTAAATTTATATGCATTATATAAGTTGGTTTTAAAAGTTTGTGATTATAAGCAAATGAGATTATAGAGGAAGTGGTCTGACTGTAATGAACGATAACTCTAAAACACCTATTTAATCAGATATAGCCAGGGCGGCCCCCCAAAGTACTGTTACATGATCAACGCGCCATAGCCGCAGCTGCAGCAAATTGATCTCCACCAATCAGACCACATTACCTATATAAGCGATTTACGATTTCGATAACGTATCTGTCGAAAGCATTTTATATCAAAAGTGAAAGTACTTTAACAACTTTTTTTTTTTAAAAAAAAAATAAAAGTCAAATTTCAATTAAAAGTTGAGTATCAAGGATCTATTATTATAAGGTAAAGTAAATAATGAAAATACTACCAAAAGTTGGCTATTTTCATATGCATTACTAAAAAAATCATTTTATTTGCTCGTACTTTCGATGGATTTTGAAAGTATTTAATAGAAATCTTAAGGTGAAAAACTAGATTATCGCTAATCTAAATTTTAATTCTAAAACAAATACCTACTGGTGAGGTCATTAATATTTTTTTATTTAAAATGGAATATTTTCTTTCTTTAAAATATATAATTCAAATAACCCAAATGATTTCAAAACAATAAGTTCGTGATAGGACTGAAAAAACTTTATTATAGGTCCCCGCTATAACTAATTTGATTAATATGTTTGCGAATCAGTAATCCAGAGCGGTGTCATTTTTTTTTGCGAATCATATAAAGTCGAGTACTTCAAAAACTTCATAATAATTCAAATCTATGATAGGTCTATTACAATTTCAAAATTTATAGTAGTATTCGAATATTGTTGTGGCGAGGACCTATAATAGAATTTTCCCGGTCCTTTCGTGATATGAAGCATTTTAAGACTATAGGTCTGACAACAAAATACTACCTTATAGCCAAAGCTTAGTAGTCAAGACTATTAAAGAGTTTTACAACACGACATTTATATTACAAAAATTCTAATAATTCAAACTTTAAATTTTTATTAAATTTACAAATAAATATTTCTAGTAGGCATTTTTATATCTCTTCATCATTTGAAATAAATATTTAACAAATGCATTGTTGTTTATTCTTTCTTTGTTAAATGGAGTACATTGTTATTTTCTTATTGAGTGAAATGTATTGTTCGTTTATTAATTCCTTATATTAATAAACTGCATTGTTTTTGAAATAAAAAGTATTTATGACTTGCTATTAATATCAATGTTGATTGTTCTTTTTTATTATATTAATTTTATATCATATTTTACAGTATATAAACAATTATCTTTTTGCCCATTCGCTTTTATGCCAACCCACGATTCACACTGTCTAATATATTATGCATATGAATCATCTATGGATATGTCATTTTTCATTATTTGTAATTACAGTATATGTAAGAACTTATTTGTATTTTGTCTAGAATTAATAAAAATAAATAAATAAAATGATTAGTTTGATACTTTCATTAACCCAAATCGAAATCATCAATGATTATTGTAATAAAGTATCAATAAAATTGATGCCAAATATCAATGATTAAGATCATGATCTAGACTGCTTATGATTAATAAATAAAAAAATATAATTTCAATATTGATAATAGAAAATTAAAATGTTTAATCAGAACAATAAACTTTAAACTTCTCTTTAATAATGAGATTTTTCTTTTATAAATAGCAATCACTTCTAGATCAACTTTGTACGTTTTATCCCTTCATAATATGTGTGCAGCGAACTTCTTTTGTGCTTTAGATAATTCAAAAACTATGATACAATTAGTATTTATAATAATTTTGCATATGTTGGCTTACTTTGATATTTTGTATAAATATAATCACTACATCTTACCATGGAAGCCAAGTAATCTTTGAACGCAGAGTTTTAAGATTTATCAATTTATACCTTAATAATAGCCCAATTCATAAATCAGCTTGTACTTACAAATGAAAGAAAAACACTGCAGTAGGTGCGATACCGATCGCACACAAGACAAATTTATTTGGGGTGGTGTTTGGCACAAAACATGCAGTATATATAAAGCAATTCGTGACAGAAGAAGAAAAAGGAATAACCAAAATCTTCTAGCAAGAGCCATGAATTCTACTAATGTTGAATCGAGTAACCAACTAGAAACTGTTAGTAATCAAGAGGATAATTACAATGCTGAGTATGTTGAAATCGATTGTCTTGAAGTAAGTGACTTTATTGCAGATAGGATTCAAGAGCTAACAGCAAGTGGAGACACTGATGGGATAGCTGACATAGCTTATCAAATAAAGCTATTAATAAATATAAATATAGATACACAAAGTATGACAGCAAAAGAAGTCACTTACCTTGTTATTAATGAAATCGAAGGAGGAGATGATTATTTATGGGTGTAAGTTAATTTGTTAATGTGATAAAGGTTTAACTCAAATTCCTGAAATTAAATTTTTATATTGAAATTCGAATTTATATTCGAATTTCAATATAAAAATTTAAATTTCAAGAACTCAAATCCAACCTCCAGTCTGATATAACTTAAAATATATCTCCGCCTTTTTTCTTTCACCCTTTTCATCCCCTTCATTGTCACTGAAGATATCATGAAGTAGATGTGTCAAAAAAGTTTGAGGAGTCAGTCAGTAGATTCACATATTTGTGCTGCCAATCGAAAGAAGCACAAAGTGAAGAATATAAAGATTCCAACTGCAAAAGATATACATGTTATAACTGTAAAGGTAAAGTTATAATGCGTGTTGATACTGCTATTGGCATTGTGAAGGTGGATATTTGCCACGAACATCTTCATCCACGCCCAAGCCCCTGCATCGTGATGTCAGATGAACTATTAGAAGAAATTAAATTATATACCCATCTTAGTATAGTTGAGCTGATAAACCATTTGCAGCACAAAGGGTTTGATATTTCAAAGTACTCACGCAAACGTATACACTACTAGAAGTCTATAGTAGGGAAAAACATCTATCAACGCCACAGTGACCTATTTGAATCCAGTCTAAAATTGCTTGATGAGCATATAAGTCAGAATTTCTTTAAGTGCTTAGAAATACAAGATACAGAGTCCATATCTCTTGCCTTCGTTATCCTCCTGCTAAAAGAAATAAATAATCTCAGTATTAATATTACTGAGATTTATATAGATGCTACTTACAAAATGGTGCGTGGGTGATTTAAACTTTATTGCATTGTTGCTGATGTTAAAGAAACTGGATTCCCTATCGCCTATCTTATAATGGATACTACGAAAGCAAGAAATACAAGTGGAAAGCGTACCAGCACATTAGAAAGGTTTATGGAAGCCATTAAGTTATATAATATAAATCCAAAGTTTGTATTCACTGACAAAGACTTTGCGAAGATTAATGCTATATCCAAAGTGTGAGGTGCATCAGTGGTGCAATTATATTCCTGGCACATGAACCGGGCAATAAAATGGAAGCTTGAAGAGAAGGCAAAATCCTCAAGAAATAGTGAATTAATAACTGTGATTTATAATTCTAGTCAAGCAGCTAGTGAATTTGATTTCATAGATCCTACCTTCTACCTATTAAAAGCTAACTGTAATTCACAAACATATGTTATCTGTCTACCTACATATAGAGAGGCAATTTTAGATCTAATACAAAATCACTTTGACATATATCTGTTAATACCAGTGGATGCCCAGGTAGAGATAAATATAATTTTGTATAATCGCTATGTTTTTTTTTCCCCTTTACAATAGACAAAAACTTTGTTTTGAACCATTTGACCATTTTTATTGACCTGCCTTAAAAACGATTCACATTAGTTTTCATTAATATCAGGATAATGTTGCAAATTGGGTCTCTATTTGAAGATATAAACCCCAAATATACTCTGATTATAGACCCTAACCTTAAATCCTAATCTAACCATTAAAAAAAAAATTTTAAAATTTCATACTAAAACAAATTCAAAACTTATCGTCATCTGTTTTACATCTTGCAATGCCTGGTATAGTTATTGACTGAATATTGTAAATCTAAAGTAAATTAGAAATGAGAGATGGTCTATCAAAATGGCATTCCAATGTTTTTTACTGGTTATCAAAATGATTAATAGCGATAATATATTTTATTATATATTATATTATAAAA